CTCGGGCAGTTTTTGGGCCGGCAGCGCTGGAGCCCCCTGTTGCCTGTGCTGGCCCCCAGCATCGCGGCACCGCTACCGTCAGGTCACTCCCTTTATCAGCCCTTTCTGCATGAAGGGAAAAATGGATAAACAGCCCTGTTTCGTACTACGCCATTTAGCGACTGCATCATGACTAAGGACAGCAGAGAAGTTTCCATATTTCATTTTTTTTTCCTTTTCATTTGTGATGGTACAATAAAATAATTAAAAAAAAAAAGGGGGGGGGGGCCAAGTTCTATGGTGTCAAGTCTAGCACTCCAAACTGTGAGCTACTACGACACATCCAAAAAGCATTAGCCCAGCTTTACAACAGTATGACTGCCCGGAGAACTCGGTCACTGAGAACATCTCCAAAAAGGGCATGCTTTAAGCCATTCTTAAAAGTAAAGGGCAAGAAGTCCCACAGCTCAAGACTGCAGCTCCGCGAGCATCACTCTGGTCTGTCTCACACTACGGCCTACAGGGAACCGGGCAACTGTGACTCTACTCCAATCTTCAGAGAAGACAAACTGCACGGTGAGACATTTTGCATGAACGCCAATCCGAGACGTGTAAAGGAAGCAATACAGCAAGTGGAAGGCAATGGGATAAGTGAAACTACTGCAAAAGTGAACAACTTCTTTGCCTTTTCACACGGCCAGGGCAGGTGGTAGAGGAGGAGAACTGATTTGGTAGCAAGGTAGGTACAACAGGACTACAGCATTAGGGAGAATATACCTTAAATTTGACTTTGAGATCCATGTTTACCTTTACAAATTCTCAGTGATTCCAGTTTTCCCCTGTTCCTTCCACGATTGTAGTCTGCTGCACTTTTCAAAATTTTTTGTTGTTTTTACTAAAAAAATAAAGGCTATTGTGGAAAACATGAGGTGTAAGGCTTATCTTTCAAAAATAAACATAAAAGTCAATCTACTCTAAAAGTTCTTAGAAAACTTTAAACATAACCATCAATTTTCCAAAATGAATCAGTTCATTTTTATACCTAGTTTTCAAAACAACGATTTTTCATTGCACAAATTTGCCTTAATACGCTTACACTTTTGCCCTAGAAGCTGAACCCTGATAACGGGAGCTATCACAGAAGTTCTTCAGCTCTGGACATCCTTTTCTGAATCCAGATGTGCTGGTGGGACAGGTTCATCATCACGCCTTTCGCCTCAGATTACCAGATTAGCAAAGATTTACTACTTAAAATCTTGAAAGTAATCTGTCCCGCTCTGAGACGGGTTCGGGATGTATCCACCCAATCAGGTCTCAAGGAGCAGCAGTCTCTGGTAAAAGAGTGATGGTAAGTAGCGGGAGTCAATGACCTTTTCCACGGACAGAGAGATCCGAAAGAAAATGTCTGCCTATAGCCTTAATACTCTTGCCGAAAAGAGAAAACAACCAAGGAGCAGCAGAAGTGAACACAATCCCAGGCATGACCACAACTCCTCATGGGCAGAGGAGAATACTTTGCCTACTATACACACATCTGTGAAAGTTCAGTGCGTTAGAGCACATTTACATTTGAGAAGGTGAGGATCCTTTTCATCAAAGGGAAGCGGGCAATTTGGCATCCTCTGAATTAAGCAACCGTGTTGCTGTTGGTTGAAGAGTCAGCAGAGTCACCAAGCTAGGGCTTCACGAAAATGGCTACAACTGTTCCTCCCTGTAAACTTGAAGTGCTGGGCAAATACAGCAGGACCAGAGCACTAACACTAGGAAAAAATACCCACAGTCCTAGCACATATACCATTTTCTAACTCATAGTCAAGTTCACCAGGATTTTAGACCTTAAAATCTTTTATAGCTCCTACAAACAGAGTTTCATATGGAAAAAAAAAAATGCAATCTTAAAGAAACTGGTGACAACAAAAATATGGCAGCTTGAATCTTGATATGGTCAAAAAGCATTTTTACAATAAAGGTGATTCATTTTTAATGCAGGGCTACCACTTCATTTGTTCAATGGTGTTCTTCACTAAAGAAATGCTCCTCCAATTATAAACACCAGAGAAATATTGCAGGATAATCCTTTAACGGTTGTAACTTACTAGAAATTATCCTTCTAGACACATTCTCTTTTTTTAATCTTGTAAAGAGAGCTAATCACAAAACAGTCATACGCAGATAAAGACTCATTATCTAAGGGGCCATTTCTAAACATCCTCAGTCTCTGACTGACGTGAGATGAAGGAGCTCAGGTTTGTCACAGGAACAGGCTCCTACTGGTCAGTACGTCATCGGTCACTGGGTATGACAACAGACCTACCTATCAGAAGCGTCACTGAAAAAGCAGCCCCCATTGCAGGTAAGCCAGCTGTGAGCTGTAACTCACAATTGCAAGCACAGCTGCCTGCACCTGCTGGAACAGTTACTACCTCCTGCTAAAGTTCATTTTTCACCTACCAGGGCACGTATCTGTCTGCAAACATCAGTCAGAAACAATCACTGCAATTTTCCATTAAAAATTCAGTGAAACCAGAAGAGAAGCCAAAAATATCTTTTAAAATAGCTCCCTACTCATACCTTGTTTGAACTGAATCCTTGGTATATGAGCAGCATAAACGATCCCATTTCATTTCCCACCATAACTCAAGACGGAACACTAGAAATAAAAACGAGCTATAAAACACATGGTATATCAGAAATCCATGTTAAAAAAAATACACCTGTATCAAGGAGCTCAACAAGAACGTAAAGCACTACTCAAAATTAAGTACCATGCATGTTACAGTACATTCCATTTATTATGACAACTTAAGGCTAAAATAGGTATGACTCCCTTATAGTCAAGCTTTCTTATATTTATCAATGCATACAAACAATAAGTGGATACAAATGTGCGGTCTTTTTATTGCTCTGAACGGTCTACTAGAATGTTATACTTCCCCCGTTTGCTTTTTTTTCAATCAAATTGAAGTTCTACAATTGCAACTTATGGCATTTTTATGGTTATAGATCTTCTTTGATTTGAGCTGTAAATAAATTCCAAGACAGAGCAGACAAAATTGCCCATCACTGCAAACTTTGTTACTGAGTTAACTAAACACTCGTCCATAAGCTACATGACAATTCACCACAAATGTTATTTCTGCAGTTCTTTAGGAAGGATTGTTTTCTTTTCAGAATAATAGGTCTCTAACCAAGTGGCAAACATGACAACCAGCAAGTAATGATTGACTAGTACCAGTCTAACAGACTGGGCTTAAAAAAACAAAACAAAACAAAAAAAGCTGAATATGTGCTCCAAAACAAAGAGCAAACTTTTCTTCTTGCTCATAGAGCAATTATGTTTCCTAGTTAAGTAGAGCAATGCCTCATTCTGCCAGCGCCAAATTCTTTGATTGCAGCTTATCCATTTCTTGACCAATATTTCCTTCAATTGTATCACACTGGGCAAGAAAAGCCTGAAAACAGGAAACAAACAAATGTTATCAGGGATGCAATTACAGCAATGGTAGACTGCTTCTTAAGAACAGAAGCTAAAGTTTCCATCACGTAAAGAAGGCAATTCAACAGCCACCTCCCAGATCAGTTTTGATAACGGTTTATTACCAGTTTTATTTACTTAGAATCTAACAGAAACACGACAAGGCAACAGCATGGCTGTCCATCCTCACGAGTCCTGCCACTGAACCATTTCGAGTTAATCCAAAGTCCACAAACATCAGTAAGGATCAAAAAGGTTCAGACAAGGTGAGGCTTTAGTTTTAGACATAACTTTAAAACTCCTTCCTGTAACATATACTTCTGTAGTGCACTTTGTACCTAAAGCTATAACAGAAAAGCATTTCCACTGCAAAGTACTTCTTGGTAGCGTTTCCTCTAAAATGGGTACCTATTTAAAAATATTTAGGAAACATTTTTGATAATTATTTAATACATTTTACAATAAAAGACAAAACCTTGCAACTGTGTATATGAATGCAAGGTACATTCACAAACAATTTTCAGGAGTCTAACCTGTGACTGAAGCTAGTATAATACAAATCAAAACAGAAATACGAGTAGGATTACCACTCATTTATGGAAGTTTTCTTTTTTGGGGGTGGGGTAGAAATTCCAGCATTTAGTAACAAAACTCCAGATTAAGGTCTCTAAGGAAGCAAGGCCTAGGAAAATCTAAACATCACAACAGCAAAGCAACTAAAGAATCCAGCACAGCTGCTGTTCTGTACAGCTTTTACTTTAAAGGCTCGTTGTCTATAGAAAGTTGGTACATTGCAATAGACACTAAATTTTCCAAAGAACACCTCTAGCAAGGTGTTGCCCAGCTTCCAGTACGAGTCAGTTGGCGGCATTGTTGTGCCCAAATCTCAATCAGTACTCCAATCCACACAGATAAGGGGAAGAAAGAACGATTCTGTTTCCTTTTTAAGTAATGAGAATTGCTTCATATCATCAGGCAGCCATAAGGCCAATCGCTAATGTACATCACAAATACTATTTTAAAATAGTATGAACTGTTAACATCTGTATTTTCGTATGCTGCTTTATAAAAGTGTTAAGTACTACTTGAAAAGAGGTCATAAGAAATAGCATTGCAAGAAGAAATATTGCAAAAATCTAAGCTTTAAACATAGCTCTCAGTTTCACAGACTGTTGGTGTACAAGTGCTCAACAAAAATGGAAAAAAAAACTCACCTGAACCCTTTTCACCAAGCCTTTCTTTTTCAGTTTGCAATCACTGAAATTCTCTGGCAGATTCTGCAGTAAAATAAGTGAACAAGTTGATGCCGCTTAATCTTAAAACTAACGTATTAAATATACAGCGAAAGGTGAATGCATCAAAGAGCTGAATCCTCTTAACAGGCAACCTGAAAAGGGCGTGCCTGCTCAACAGGTATGATTACATATGAAAGAATTCAAAAGAAAAATAATTTCAAAAAAATCCTGGGATGTAGCATGATGACTGCACACAACTGAGCTAGCAAATTTACAACGTAGCTTCAGCTGATACACAGCAATAGACCACGTACACTCCCTTTGTCCACTGTGGCATATGTTAACTCTTCTGCTGAGCATCAACTTTAGGTTTTTCAGAGACTACTGAAGAGAGTAATTTCTTACAAACACATCAACTCAATTACTCAGCTTCGTTGCAATGTATCATCAGTATATAATCAGTATAATGCCTGCATCAGTAATGCAGGCATTGCTAGTCTAAGCTGTAGGTCTGATCTTCTCTACAAATCTATTTATGGAAGGTAATAACTGTGTTGTACCCTGAAAGCTCTTAATTTAAGTCAAATTGCATGAGCTTCCATACTCCTTCCACCCAATTTATATATGTAATTTAGTGTATATCATCCTAGCAAGTTTTACATGCTTTTTCCTGTTGGAGATACGTTAAATTGGGTATTGGCGGGGGAGGGTGGTTTTAGAGTTTTTTGTTTTGTTTTGTTTTTGGAAACAGGTAAAACCAGTACAGATGATTATCACCATAAAAAGTTTATGTGAACATTCTCAGAAACATTGTGCTCTCACTGGCGGAAATGCAAAAAAGGTCACATCACACTTCGAGGTTACCCTACCTTTCCCTCTGTTTTATTTCACCTAAAATGCAAGTCCCATTGGGAAGTTCAGATATATAATTATTTGCAACACCCCGCCCCCCAAATTTTGTTTCTTTTAAAGTCCAGCCAAACATACACTGTCTTAAATACAGGAGTCTTGCACATAACTTAATATAGGAGTTAAAAATACACAAGACTTCACACCAAAAAACAGTCATTGTGAGAAGTGAAACTACGGGCCTAAAGAGATCCCAGGCAGTTCAAGGAGCAGAGATCACACTGCTCTGATATTTGCGCAGTGATTAGTACATTGTGGGTGGTATCAGACAATGAAATAATGATGGCCAGGCTCAGTACATACACCCTGCACCGGGGGCGAGGAGGAAACAGGCACACAGATTAAGCAGGAACTTATTCTTTCATTTTACTTCCAACAAGCCCTGGTTTAAAATCCCCACCACTCTCCTCCTACTCTCAGCTGGAAGAAGGAACATCGAATGCTGCTTCTTGTCGCCCAGGACAGTATGAAAGTTTGAAATGGGAATAACTGCTCCTACGCTAGCCTATTCCCAAGGTTAGGTTTTTTGGTTTATTTTCTTGGCTAGTTTTTGTAAGATAGGCGAGAGAAGGAATCTTCTGTTCCTGTAGTTCCAACTTCCATTTCTGTTGCTCCAGTGCCACTTGCAGTTTTCCCAAACAGCAGTATTATTAAGCTGATAAGACTCATATCAATTTTTAACACTTCCCTTGAGATTAGAAAAGGCATCTCCCCTTGCAGAGAGCTTTTATGTCAGATTGCACCTTCTGAAATAGCACCAGAAACTGGACCTACGCCTTTCAGGTTGAAAAATTATTAGCAGCATCAAAGGCACAAGAGAGGTCGGTCTGCAGGTTAATAGAGACATCCTTCCAAATGCAAACTATCTTGCAAACAGAGATAGAAAAGTCTAAAAACTAAAAGTTATGTTTTTTTCAGAAATTGAGGGTCCTTCTCTTATTACCAGAAACATTCTTCAGTTTGTCCCAAGAAACAGTTTCCTTTCTATGACCTATCTATCCTTTCCATCGCCTCTTTTATTTTGAGAGAAAGGGGAGGAAAAGTTATCATCGAGTTAATTCCAAGAATTTATTATTCACAATGTCTAAGCTCCCACAGAAGCCTGTTTTACACTGGTCACTTTCTTCATTTATGTAGCATGGCCTCAAGCCCTTTGGATTTACAGCACAGGATAGATTCAGAAGCCATTACCACATTTTCAACAACTGTCTAAATAAATGAAAGCTCCATTTCACTAGTGGCCCGTGTCCATTTTCCAAAGCACTTTTCTTTTTTTTTAAACTGTTGATTTTAGGAGCTACATTGCTCTAAAAAGTGTATTTTCCAGTACTGTGTACCGTAATAAACCCTTGCTCACTGCAGCATGCTAAACCTGCACGTCTCTTCCCAAGAAGCAGGACATTGAGAAAAGATTTTACTATATGCTTTTCTTTCAGAAACTGAATGCTCCAAAGACGTTACACAACACCTGAAAAGTTAGTTTAAAGCTGTGGATGCGTCTTCTTCAAATACTCGTTTTAGCTCACAAACAAAAATGAAGGCCTTTTGAAAACTTACAGCTGTCACAGAAAAAAAAAAGGAAAGAAAAATTATTATAAAGGTATATGAAGTATTCTAATGCATCTTGTTCATGACATCGGACCCTGTAACCACAAGAGGAAACACTCCCATTTTTCCCTTGGTTTTCTACAAAGCAATTCATTTTTGAAATGAAAAAAAATATGATGAGAAGCATTTGACACGAGGAAAGTATTTGATGCCTAGTATCTGACCCCGTAACTTGCAATAACCTGGAAAAACAAAGATCAGTTAGGCCTAATTATTAATAGTTGATTCTCACCAGCAAATGAATATCTCCCTATGTCACAGAAATTCAATGCCTTGAAGCTTTCCATGACACAGCATTTATTAATAATCAAATTAAAAATGAAATAATATGCTAGCTCAGTTACATTGTCCATGCCTTCTTGTTACCTCCCTTTGTTCAGAGCTTTTTATCTCAGATGGGACCTTCAGAAAGGTTTTGGCCTATGTAAGAATTCCTACCAATCTGCAATAGCAAATTAGCAAACAATTCTCTATTATCAGAATAGGTCTAAGTTAGCTATCAATACCAGATAGGGAAATCCAGGTGGGCTTACCACTTCAATACCCGTTTCAGAAACAAATATTGGTAACTGGAGGAAAACTCTGAAATCTGAGCATAAGGACAATATTCAGATCATTTCTATTTTGGACAACATTTTTCAAAACTGTTTTTTAAACCCATCTGTGCATGCAAAATCCTACGTGTGTTTGCACGCCCTCATAGCTGTTTTTAAAATCACACCTTCTAAAGCCCTAGGCAAAGACATGGAACTGGAAGTCCTGAATTCACTATCTATCAAAACTGCTTAAAAGGTATTTTGCAATCAAATTAGTAAAGCTTACAAATCTTAACATCAAATTAAATCTCACAGTCTCTCTGTTTTACCTTAGTCAGCTTACGTCTCCTCTCCAGGAATACGTTGTCCAACTATTCAGGGTTTAACAGGTGAAGCTGGCAATAAACCTTAAGTCACAATAACATTTCAATATTTAATTAAAATCAAGTTTAATTTATATATTTTTTAAAAAGTAACTTAACCTAGGCAGTGCTTATGCAAAGCTCTTGCTAAATGTATATCTTGGAGCATTTCTTGCAGAGCGATCGTTTGGGTTAGTAGACGGCTTTCCACTGCACAGCGTATTGTCATTCATATAGCAAGTCTCTTATTTGCATTCTACTTTCTCTGTGACAAAACCCTGTTCAAGCCTCACAGTATAAGCTGTTCAAGCTTTGCGTAGAAGCTCTTAAACTTTTGAGCGCTGACTGCAGTGCTGGCTTTACCCAGCAACTTCGGTAGAACTCCTACTTCTTCCACAGCTTTTGTTTGGTTGTTTTTTTCGCTAACACAGGTTATCAGTTTTTTCCCCTCCAACAGAAACAACCTGAGTCCCCCTATTACCACTGGCTATCTCCCACCTCATATCCCAAATTCAGAGCTGCTTAACCACACCTCTTTGAGGGTTCTAACCATGTGGATACATTGACTTTACAAGTTATACCTTCAAAAATTCAGGTGTTGTATGCGCGATACTCACGCTTCGCAACAGATTGTTAAAAAAAAAAAAAAATCACCCTTTACAATACGGAATTCATGTGGGTGTGTTTTCTTGCCTCTGCATCCTCTCTATTCTTGAGTGTCCTTTTAACTATAAACCCAGGTGTCCTCTTTCCTGAACACTGCTTCTTACAAAAAACAGACTCTCTCTTCATTCCTTTCCCATCTCCCAATAAAACAACGTCCCTTTGCTGTGGAACATCACCTTTCAGCTTTGCTCATGCTTCCTCTGCTACAGGAGCACTTACAATAATGATTTTTAAGCTTAGTGTTACCACCCCATCTTTGCTCTCCTATTTAGCTATTTCATACTTCCCCAGTCAGAGGCCCCAGAAGATAAGATCCAGTTTATAGCACTGTAATGAGCAAATACACAAAATAAATGCTAGTCAAATTTATCATTTATGAACCAAAGGGATAGCTTTTTAAAAAAAAGTGTCCCCCACACTAGCAGTCAATAGCAACAATATCAGAAATCTGAAAGGTTTCTAGCTATCCGGCTGATTAAAACAAAAAACAACAACAAAAAATCATTCTACCACACACAGCACCAATCCTAATGACTTACAGGAATTTTTGCTGACACCATTGTCCATTTAGCAAGAAGGTTTTTTGCTTTTTACATTACAGTATCTTAAAAAACCTTAACACAATGTACGGTATTTTAGTGCGTAATTTTTACTGAGTCCCACTCCTTCACTATTTATTTATTAAATTGGTTAATTGGGTAAGCATATTATGTTGACACCAAAACCTTCTCATCTAAGTAGACATTCGAGCAGCTTCATTAAAAGCAGCTTTTAAAAGGCTGCATTTGTCAACAGGTTTTCTGAATGCATAAGAGGTAATTAGGTGCTCTACTCTCACTGAGGGATGATGGCACTTTCATGCGCCTTGTGCTTTAGAAAAATATTCCCCTTTGACTTTACGCTTATGATCCATATTAAGACATTTTAAAATTAAGATAAGTAATGCCTATCAAATGTTTAATGATCCAAATAAAATCAAAGATTCAGAAGTAAGCTCACATCACTCCAATGGTAAATGGTAAAACTTCATAGAAGCTTGGGAAGTGTTTGTTAAAGGCACAATAACACTATTTGCAGAATAATTTCTTCTCTAATCCTTGGAATGTTAATTAAGCATTGGTTTACCAGATGACAAGAACAGCAAGGACAAGATGAAAATAAAAAAGCTTCTCAACATAATTATTTCGGTACAGTAATTCGATTAACTTTTATAGAAGAATTATAACAACAACAACAACAAAATCCTCAAGAAAGATTACTCACATTTATATCCTGATGGCCACAAAATTCGTTATGTTATCAATACCAATATGTCCAATTTGACAGGGGATTTTGCAGTTAACGTCCGTAAACAAAAAAGCCTGTGACTTTATTTCAAGAAATTTAGTAAGAAACCATCTTGAGAACAAAGCGATCTCTCAGGTTGCAAAATCAAAGACAGACTTCAAGTAAGGCTGTGTAATGTTCGGCTGAGTAGGCTGACAAGAAGGGCACAGTATCAGGCTTGTGAGTTTAAATTTTCCTACTGATCTTAGGAAAGTTTTCCTGTCTTTCCTTTGTCACGGTAATTGGTCTAAAAAACCGTGCCAGCTAATCAAGTCAGGCATTTTCTGCTTCCTGAGATTTGTAGTAAGTAGTATGCTTTGACTTTTACTCCTGGACCAAGTGTTTTAATTGCTGAAATAAACACATTTCTGATGATGCACAGAGATAAATCCTCAACTGCTGAGCAAAACTAATTTGTATTCTTCCTGAAAAATATTCAATGATTTGTGGCTTGTGCAAAGGCTAGACTGTTGCACAATATTTAAAAATTTGTTAGATGCTTATAAGATTCCACCCCCCGCCCCGTAGAAGTAGTAGCTATTTTTAACCAAATGTTTAACATTAAAATGCTTAAGTTGCAGGTACTCATCCCAGAGACCTCCCTTCGAGACTTTGCTTTTGCACTTTTTGCAGTGACAACATCATATCTTTCCTCCTCCACTCCAATATTGTAGGACTATTGAACTACTACTGCCACTTCCTGACTCACTTTTTTAAAGCTATAGCTCTTGAACACATGGAGTCTAACAAAAAGGATTATTAGTTCCAAATTCAGCTCCTTTAATTAATGATATGTCTGCTCACAGTTACGATGGAACCACTCCTAGAACAGACAGAAAATAGTATGTGGTCTTCACCTGTTAGCTATCTTAATACCACACAAACCTGATTTGGCATCAAGCTCGCTGTTCTTAGTTGATCCAAACAATGTATAACGCCCAAGACATTTTAAAGTGTTTTCACAACAATTCTGCCAAAGAAACAAACTGGAATATTTATGATGCGAAATTGTTAGTACGTTTCCTTTCTACAATACATTCACTCTTCCATCTTGGCAGAAAATAGCTCAATTACTTTTTCTTGAATATGCTGCTGATTCAATCAGTAGCACATTTAAATAATCAATGACATTCAAGAGATTTTTCAAGCCTTCCTTTTTACTAGGGTAACACAAGGACTATTAAGGAGTGTATAAAACATTTCAGATACACAGAGAAATCGCTTTCTGGAAGCTTTTCACTTTTCTGCTTTACAATTTTGCTTTTTCTATTTACCATTTTTTCCATCCAATTTCTTACTTCAGTGGCACCTCTTTATTGCTCAAACACATTCCTCAATACTGTTCTGTGTTGCTACAATGGCAGTACATTTAAGTAATACCTTCATAAAGTGGAGCCTCTTCATCTGATCTGGTGTAATAACAGTACAATAAAGGGCTAAGTTTTATGTAAAGATTCCATATCTTATCTGTAAGATTTCCCAGAAGACAGCCAAATTCAGTTTTCATGATAAAAAAACAGAGCCTTATTAGAACACTAAGAAAAACAAATACGGAGGTTAGTCCTAAAAAACGTACCTTCATCCACTGCTACAAGAAGCCCTAATTTTCATTACACCCTTAAAAATACGATGCTGGTCAATGTCAGCTTCTAGGTTCTTCTACAGTGAGGTAAAAGACAACTATTGCCAACATTAAAAGATATTAATCATGATTATTTTTAGCTCTGACTGCTCCACTCCCACAAAAGTGAGGCAATTTGCTGAATTGAAACAAGAAGTCACCAGCTTATAAACTTCCTAAAATCTTTTACTAAACCTAGAAGTCCATGTCGCATACTATCTAGGCCATCTTGGATAAGGGGATGTTTAAATCATGCAAGAAGTACCAGAATCAAAAGAAAACTTGGTAAACTGAGCTTGGATTAATGAGGAAGCAATGAAGAGGGGCTTTCAAGGCTGCTGACTAGGTTCCAGAGCTGTAAATCAGCATACAAACACTACCTTTTTCTAAATAGGACATGGTACCAGAAATAAGCTTTGATCCCACCCAAATAAGTCAGTTGTCACCTCATTGCTATTTTCCACGGTAACACATAGAAAATCTGCCACTTCAAACAAGGAATCAGTTGTATTAAGTCTGTATGTCTGATCGCATTCAAGAACTGATGAAGACTATTGAAAGTTGAAGATCTCAAAATACTGAACTACTTTTTTCTTTTAACTATAACATACAAGAAAAATTAAAACATACTTAGAACTGTCAGCTGTAACAAGCATAAAGCTAAACTCCTGGCAGCAAACAGCAAAGTCTAACTTACCATTAAAGTTGCAGGGTATGAAAGGAAGAAATAAGTTAGCAAGCTCCCCGCCACTCCCAACAACACAAACCATACAATGCGGGCCAATTCAAAAAATTACTCTTTGACATAGCTGGCTGCTCAACTTTTTCAAAATACCAATCGATTAAAATCCATTTGTTTCACAGACTGTAGATATTTGTATAAAAACTTGCTGAAATAAACCCATAAAGGGTCATTGGGCAAAAGGAGTCAACTCAAATACATCACTACCACAGAAAAGCAGCATGGTGTTCCTTCAGAATAGGAATTTATGATCACGATACGCAACAGAATTAGACAACGAAGTGAAAGAGAATGACCCAACAGACGCAGAAACTGAATAACAAAACACCCTAGTAGTCACCATCTAGGGCAAGTCCCTTATTCTCACCTAGCTCTCAGTTCCCACATTACACAGAGAGATACATATTATACTCTAGAAGGATATTGCACGGTTATGATCCATTAATGTCTGTGAAGTGCTTGGATAAACTCCAGAACATTTCAGATAAAGAACCCAGTCCTCAGTATGCAGACATCTTGAATAAAAGTACTGTCAGTCCACATAGGACTGACCAGAAAATTCTTCAGGAATTCAGGAAAATTCTCCTTGTTCTTAAGCAATAAAGAAAAAGTGCTTCTGCTTTTTTTTTTATGCCGTCCCCTCAAGACCTTCACTGTTACCATAAAGTTTAACGTAACAGGTTTTGTCAAGACAAACTACAAGGGTAAAACTTGAGTAAAGGATACCCATTTCATGTAGTCTTAACAGGCTGTTGCCCAATATGAAGCTCTTCTGTAGAATGGGGATGCATACACAGGCATTAATGTCACCATTTAGAAATAGATGCTGCCAAGTAGCCTTTTGGAGAAATACAGGGGCAAGAGCTGGATATTAAAGAAAAAAAATGAGCAAACCAATTAACTAACTTTAAAAAGCAAAATATATTTGTTAGTATTTTAAAATATCAAATAAATTATACTAAAGATTTATTCTTAAAAGTAAACTTCTTTCGGGATATGATGCCTTTCTGTTATTCTTTACTTACAATGGCATCTATCTGTTCCAGGACCTTCATGAACTGCTCTGCAGTTCCTTTTATCCTCTTGTCCAGCTTTTTCAGAGCTTCTGCCTGGAGATCCTTTGCTAAAAAACCCTGAGGAAGCAAAAGAGGGAAGAAAAGATAACATCATTCCACATCCTGAAGACTACTCAGCTTAGAAAAATTTGTCAATCCACTGCAGCAGAAAATATTTTTTACTATTTCTATAGTTTCGGGTACAATAAAAACCTCCAATTTCAATTTGTATTCTGTCAATGCTTGAAATACTAACTGTAAGATCTACTAGGTTTTCTTAAAAGATTAAACAAAACTCAAAGGAACAGCCATTCGCCTTTGAATTTTGAGAGAACTGTTCATGTTTTTCTAGATCTAAAGAATATCATTTGTTCCATATGTAACAATATTTACCTTTTTCCAAACCGTGCCATACATCTCCCTATTTTGAAAACACACAAACAGTATTTGAAGTTTAGTAAGAATTTTACAGGTGCCTTGGAAAGCCAAAAAGGACAGCTTACTACTGACCGTACAAAACCCTCAAGCAGTATTTTTTAAAATACGTATTTAAAAAACAGTTTTGCAAATATTTAAAATGATACAGAGCTGACGTACCTTCTGGATACTTGTGAACTCTTTATTAACTTCCTCTAACTTATTAGCTATTTGCTCCACTGACTTCTCCAAATCTTTTAACTTCTTTAATTCAGCCTCTTCCTCTGGACTATTCTGTGTATTCAAAAGCATAAAAGTCATAACGGCGGAACAAATAGAGTCACTACGTAGCTAAAGAGCAGCAACAGTGTGATACAGAAGTGAAGGCTTTTGCTGACTTAAGACAAATATTACACTGGGGTTATTCTTTCCATACTTTAGTACCTACGAAACAAGCTGCTTCCAAAGCTTTACAACAAATTTAGTGGCAACCTCTATAAACACATTAAAGGAGACTAATTTGAAGAGAAAATGAAAAGTGCAAATATTTTTCTTTTATTAGCTTTCGTATCTTGCAAGTAACACAGGAGGTAATATATGAGGAGATACTACTTTGCCCTCTACTTGAGAAAGCCAGTCACAGGTCACTTGACTAGAAGTAACCCAGCAGACACAGCAGCTACAGGTTTGTTGCTGTTGTTTTTCAACCAGAAAAATAAGACGGACAGAACAGTGCATCAGCGCACATGAGGTTCATGAGTGCTGACAAGCCACAGATTAAGCAGAAGTTTGTCAATACTGTATTTTCAGAAAGCTGCAGAGTTATTTGCAGTGCAACGTGAGATTGAACACAGCTTTCTGGGTATGTACACAAGGTGAGTTTTACACTGAAACCTATATCCATGTTCAAGAGTTGAGCTACTAATAGAAATTAGGATAACGTAAGAAAAAACTTCTGAAGGCAACACTTACCCTTTTCCCAATCAACATGACTTTGCAACCGTTTTTAACACCAAGTGCTGACAAAGGTTGTTCCATTTCTTTCAGAGACTTTCCTAAACGGAATGAGAGAGAGAGAGAGAAAAAAAAAAAACAGTCAAAATATTAGTAATAACAGTGATACTTTCAACTGTTCCGTCCAAGTCCTAAAAATTAAAGTGTTAAGCATGCCTTTTTAAAAACATTCAGAATATGGATATCAAAGTAAGATGAAAGCTACCATCTAAAAGAAAAACGGACAGATGTGTAAGTTACCTTTGTATATCAGTTTCTGAAAAGGAACGGGAACACCAGTGACTTGTTCAATAAGTAGAGCCATGTCTTGTAGTGTAGGTTCACCATCTTCCTGATGAGAAGCAACCTGAATACTGTGCTTTTCGTTACCTAACAAAAACAGAATAACAGTAACATCTATTGTCACTTAGAAAATATTAGGTGGAATCACTTTCTAATACATTTTTCCGTGGAGGCAGAAAGTTCTCAAATCACTGATACTCATGTACAATCTTAATCTAAATCACAGGGTTCTATTGCAATTCCTTCATCTTAGTTACTCACCTCAGCTGAAAATATATACATTCTTTTAACCTAATAACCTGAAGAGTTGGGCAAGGAGAAATCTATTGACTATAACGCCCCTGATAAAAAAGAGAGGGTGGATAATATTTAAGAATGCAGCTGGTCCAGGCATCGTGCAAGCTGAAGAATGGAAGCCCAGACTTTCATGATCTGCTTCATTTCCTACTTGCAGGAACTTGCAATGACATGAATCCTGGGGAATCGGAGATGACTTAACACTTCCTTTGCTCCCTATTCCTTAGGCATGAGAAACAACCAACGTTTCCCTGTCTCCCCTCTAGTGGGCCATCTGAAAGAACTCTCACAGTCTGAAGATGGCTTCTCCCCATAATACATCTTAATAGCACATTTAGCTCCAAGCAAATCTGCAGTCACTGGTTCCAAGCTTCAAATGAGTTCTAGTGAGGGTCTTCAAAGTCTAAATCATTGCAATCTTGAAGAGGCTTATCATTTAATTCCCAAAATCTTGAGAGACTCTAGCCCTTAAATCCCCTATTAGTTTCATTCGACTTATCAGGGATTTTGGGCACAGTCAGAGTATGGTTTCATGAGAGCAGGTCAGCCAATGTAACAACCTACGGTCTCTGAAAAGGGATAGGTCCCATTTCCAGCTGAATGTTTGTGCTGCTTACTTTGCTCTGGCTCTTGTCAGGCAAGCTCACTAACTTTCACTCACTAACCTAGACAAAAACTAACTGGACATACACGTGTGCATGAACCAGTAATTTGCTCTACTCCAGACAAGCGAGTCAGTTTTGTCCAGCTACAGTCCAAAAAGCGTCAGAACCTGGGCAGGGCAGGGATGAGACTACATGGCCAGAAATGAGTAACACTAGCGCCTCGACAGCCCGCACTATCAGTGAGCTGATATGCAGCCTCAGCCGCCTTGTCTCAGCCTGGTCAGCTACTGCTTAATGGAGTATCCTGTTCAGACTCCCCCAGATCACTGAGATTCAGATGTGCAATAAACAGCAGGAAATCCTCAGAATAAAAGGACTATGTCAGTTCATCTCTTCTTACTGACTGATTGTGCTTTCTGTAACCCTTATGGGGTTCCTGTAATGCTTAAGGCCTGCCATCTTAAAACATCCACAGAAATTAGCCACCGCTGGCTGCAAGGGAACTAAGATAGACGTTTTTCAGTTTACAGGAAGAGAGTACTGTAACAGCCATCAGAAAGAAAACTGTCCTCATGCCACTAATTTGAAACACACATATCTTTTGCAAAAGAAGAGTGCCATAAACATCTATTTTAACGTGTTTTGGTCTCCCAGGGTTATACAACAAGCTACACAGAAACCTCAAGAACTTGCAAACTCCAACAACGTTCTGGAATACAAAAATGGTTTTCAGCTCAAAATCTTACTACACCAGCTCTCCCTCAAGCACTTTCGACAAACAGACCTCATTCCCAATTCGTTTTGAAAAATACAGAGAATGTAAGTCCTACTCCTGATATATTTCAAAACATTGCTTTGGTACATTTATCTGCTCTGTGTAAGAGGTCTGCAGTTGAGAAAAAAAAAAAAAAACAAGAAAGGAGGAAAAGCTAGCTGAAGCTTGCTTTGCAATGAAAACAGCTTTAATTACAAATTATGAATAACACTTTAGTCTTACTATAGCACAAGTTATACTGTCAATTCACTGCTGAGTGAAATCACCACGAAAAACACCTCACAGGTTAGAGCTGGTATCACAACTGATCAGTTTGTTTCTGTAAATGACAACATTGCTTTAAAATCTCAGACAATGCAAATTTCCCAAGTCTTTTGGAAAACCTCCAATACATCTTGAAAAACGAGATCAATTCAATGACTTTTGGATTGTACAGTGATACATTCTTTCTTAAGCCTTAATTATTTCCATCATTCCTCACCTTCACTCACACACAAAATTAATTATTACTCACACACAATATCAATAAAAATATTTGCTCAAAGTGGTAAACAAGCACCCAACATCAACAGGTATAAACCGGACAGCTGTAGTCCAGGATGAAGGATGCCTTCTACCTGCGATGAATGACAAAGTAATTACCATATAAGAAAACGACTGGATGGATAAAGGTATTCCCAGATAAGAAGACTGTTGGCAAACAGCAAGATGCTGGAATTATAAATTGAGCGCTCTGAAGGAAAGTAGGCATCATCTTCGGAAATGAAAATCCCTCTTCTCAAATGGAGTTCTCCAAAGGCATCAACACACACGTGGATCACAAAGATTCAAGTACATTATTCCACAGGGTCCCTCACCAAAGACTCTTAAATAGGCTAAGCTGCCAAGCACTAGAGAAACTCTTTCACATAGTAAAATAACCAACAGGTTGAAAACAGAAATAAGCAAACAGAAATAAGCAGTAAGCTCTGCAGGTAAAAAGAATCTCACCAATGAAGTACTAAAGGGACTGAAGTAGAGTTGTCACTGTTCAATTATTAAAAAATAAAAAATCCATAAAACAGTCACAAGTTCTGTGAACACAACTCACTGATGAATAATTTTTAACACCCTACTGTCCTCAGGGCGTTCTTCCTAATGCCTAACCTAAACCAACGTCGTTATAACTTAAGTAAAATATTTCTTGCCCTATTTTTAGGAACTGTAGCATCAAGGGCATCCTTAACTCTTTGCACGTTTATTTGAAGACTTAACCGTGTGTTTCCCTTCCCCCTTTCCCCCCCCCTTCAGTGTCGCCTCTCCAGGGGAAAGCTCAGTTGTCTCAACATACCCTTCAGCGACCCGTTTCAGCAGCTCGGCACCCGGCCGTCATGACCAGGAAATTATCTCTTGCTGCTGCAGCCTCCCATCTCACTAACCACAACTTTTCAAGCTTCGTCAGCAAAGGAGGAGACAGCCCAACAGGCAGCGCCTGCTTTCAATGCACGCCACTGGCCTCAGCTCCGCGACACACGTCGCCCAGAGCAAGGCTGCTCCAGAAGAGGGAAGGCGGCTCCCTCCTCTGCGGGCCGGGCCGGGCCGGGCCGG